GACTGACTGCAGAACATACAAAGTTTCTCGTCAAGATGACGCTTACGCTCTTGTGGCGTGAGCTTGCCGTTGTCTCCGAGTTTAGACGAGAGGTCCGGTTTTGCGGAGCTAGCCTCGGACTTCTTATTGTCCTTCGGAGGCCTACTACCGGAAGCGGAGTTGAAAGAGGAGGAGGAAGGGACGGGGTCGGAACGAGAAGCGGCGGTGGACTTGTCGAAAACATTAGAGGAAGAGGGTTTCGCATGACGTGTAACTTCCGATTTACGCTCCCAATAGCGCGCATCGAGAGTTTGGGACAGGGTGCGAAGTTCAGAGAGAGTAGAGGGTTTACCTACTCTAGCAATATCGTCCTTGATACGTTCCGGTAATCCGTTGTAGAAAAAACAATGAAGCACGGCTTCTCCGTAACCGTGAAGTTGAGAGGCATGTCGATTGAACTCGACGACATATTTATTGATGTGGTGCCCGTCCTTCATGTCCAGGGTCATCAGTTGAACCTCGGCGTCACCCACAGGATCATGAGGGCCGAAGTTAGTTTGAAGTTCATTAACGAACTCTTGATAGTCGTTCATCCATCGCGGAGGAAGCGTGGAATTCTGGTCGAATAACAGGTCCGGTTCGAACCAATCGAGGGCCATTCCCTTGAGGTAGGACTGCGCAAATATGACTTTAGCGCGGTCACTAGCAAAAGCGAGGGGACGGTCCTGGAAATTGAGCTCGCATTGGACCAAGAATACTCGAAGTTCTCGGGGATCCTTTCCATCGAACTGTTCGGGTTTGCGGACCTTGGTCCGGAGAGCAGAAGATGGTTGTCCTCGTCGTCGTCCGGTGTGACGAGCCAGACTGGCAATGGCTTGGGCCAATTGTGCAATGGCCACGTTGGAGGTGGGTTCGGCATCGTTGGTGGTTGGGACAGTGGGGATGGGAGGATCAGCAGGGGGAGGATCGACGAAGTCAGGGACCTCGGAACCGAGTCCAAAGAAGTGGACGGGGTCTATGGGTTGTTTCGTGGTGTCTCTGAAGTCGGAGTCTGCAACTGGTGATCGATTCCTAACGGGGCACATGATCGGAGTCGATGGGAGAGGGGTTTCAAGGTTAGAAAAGCTTCGAAACTCAACTGGGTTTCTCGCCAATCGACTAGGACCAGGCTGAGAGGGTTCTGGGGAAGGTGAGGTGGAGTTGGGAACTAATGTGCATAATTGCGAACGAGTGCGAAGGACTTTTGGTGCCATACAAGACGTGTACTAGTCAGGGAGTAATAAAATACTGTCAGAGACCGGGTTCGAGACGAAGGAGTGTCTCCGTAGCAGAGGGCTTTGGCCTCAGCGACTTCTGCCAAGAGCGCTGTGCCTAGTGACACGTCCGTGCCCTAACTTACTGACTGGCAATCAGAACCTAAGGGGGGAACTCTAGTTGATTTTATTACTGGAGTGTAACCTATGTACAAGTGGGATATATATATATGGTTACAGTGAAGACGGGTCCGCAATTGGCGGAGCCGAACGGAGCGGAGCTAACGGGGTTTAAACATTAGCTGACTGAATATTACCGACGAGTCGGGTCGCAGGGTTAGTGGAAAGGCAGGCGATAACCCAGAAACAGAAAGGAGGGATAGGCCCAAAGGTGGGCTCTGCAGGGTAGGCGAGTGTATTGCCCAGCGGAGGTGGGAGTGCGCTAGCGGACGTCGGAGCTGTCCGGAAGTCTTCGGGGCTCCGTACTTAGGGAGGCGTAGGTAATAAATTGAAATGAGGGGGTGGTGACCATCGAGGGGTACCGAGAGGATTGCAGAATACGGGAGCTCCGAGGTTAGTGAGGGAGGAGCGGAGTTAGACCGGAGGGAACGGAGGGACCGGAAGTCAATGGCTGGGGATGGATATGACAGAAGTCAGCAAGGAGAAGGTGATGGAAGGGAAGTAGGGCTTGTTGGAAAACAGCGCGCTAGCGTGGCCATGCGAGTTTTCGTACAGCCACATTCCCACGGCCGAGCGAGGAACTCGCCCGGCCAGCCACATCTATTTATTCATTCTTTTGTATTCATTTCGGACTATCCCGCTCCCAAACTACATGGGAATTACCGCTCTTTGAATCACTTTTTCCCTCAGTTCTCTTTCGCATTATTTGCTTGAGACTGAGGTTAGTAACATCATTCCTTTATTTCAATCTATACTTATATACTGTATATTACCTCTAGTTGCCCCACTTCGCTAGGTAATATATTTTAGTTCTCTTTTGCATTATTTGCTTGAGACTGAGTTGCCCTGCTTCGCTAGCAATCTCATATTACTTTAGGGCTCTGGAGTCAGTTTTGGAGTTCTGGAAGCCTGGAGCGGAGGTTGGGATTGTATGGATATGACATTTCCCCTGGCTTTAATCACAACTAGGTTATCAGAGCAACTTGCACAAGCACACACGTCCCCTGACACATACAAGTCAGCATCATACTGCAGAACAGCTTGCTTTCGTGGCTGAAACCATAACACCTCTATGCTCCCTACCCTCAGCGTTGAGGGCATACTCCATGTCAATATTCAGGAGGGAGCAGTTAAGTTCAACAATTTCATTCTATCTCTCCTCACATGAATCTGTTCCCCCTCCCTCAAGGGGTGTCATTTTGGGAAATGCCAAACACAGGGTACAGGGGGGGGTTCATGAGAGAGGGCAAAACCTATTTTCAGATGACATTTTAGATTAAGTTATGTACAGTGAGAAATCGATTGTTAAGTGAAGAGTGTATGTTATGAGAAGGAATGTTGGAATACAAGTCACATGATTAGACTACTTAAACTGGGAATATTCTACAGGTTACTAGGCACTTGCATAAGTGCTGGGCATAGAAGAGCCTGGAATGTTATTGAGGAGTATAAATACGGGCACTGGAGTGCCATGTGTATTTTAGTTATATTTCTTTCTATATTACATCTGGACTGCAAGTGAACTGCTGAAGTGGGTTGCCACATTTGGAATGCCGCATTTACAAGGGTTGGTCAGCAGAAAATTCCTAAATTTGGGAACCGGCATCTCCCGAAATGATGGATACTGCCGATTGAATTGAAGGGGGGGGGGGTCTCACACATTGCCCTATATCCCAAAAAGGGACATGATGTTTAGGAATTCCATAACTGACCCCCCTTGCCCCCCCTCGGTCTCTTCTCAGTATGTATAACCTGTCAATCCATAAATCCGATGAGCTTGAAGAAACATGTGCTGACCAGTTTGTAGCCATTCAAGCTCAACCCCAATATTGCAGAGGTGTTCAACTTGTGCTCCCCCAACTCAAACTCAACGAGGAACGCAGAATAGCTGGGCGCTAACATACTGTATTGCAATATAATTTAACTGTATTGATAATAAAAATTCCATTGAATGGCCAATTTCCGAGGGTGATTTCCTGTGAAACATATTGATACCCCTTTCACTTTTTATCAGACAGATTCCCTCAAAAGCGCTGTAAGTACTCTCCTCCTCTTTGTACTATTGTTTCACTTCACTGCTTCTCTCATGCTTTCCAGACCACCACTACCTTCCTGTTCCTCCACCGATGTCACCAGTGAGTAACTCAATTTCTTCTTGCTCTTTCTCTTAACAGAATATCCTTTGCTCCCTGGTCTTACAGCCTTTCACCACCTGCCGAATTGGCATCTTCTCACCAGTTGATTCCCCTTGCCGAAAACCACGGTGTTTCTTTCAACGTTTGCACTGTGTCACATATTCGTGACCATTTACTTGCGCATATTCTGTTTGGTGACTGTTACCAAATTCCCATCAGGCCTGCCCCTTTCCCCACGTGTGTCCACCTTTGCACCTGATTTCCGGATTATGACATATATCTTCATGATGTACTTACCTTTTTGCTCTCCTCTGTGATGACATTTATAACAAACCTAAAGCGTAACGCTGGAGGGAGACATTGTCGCGCACCCTCCGGACACAACAGCATATGTTGTAACAGGGGAAGGGTGGGGTGTTTATACGTAGTTGGATCTTCAACCCATATATATTTTGCAACAACGGAGGACGGAAGAATGGCAGGACCTGCCGCATCAGGCGGCATCCACCAGTTATTCTATTGTGGAGAGCACATGCTTTGTTCTGACTCAGCCAACAAGCCTCGTAATACTACACACTCATCTGATCCAAAGAGAGTTCACGAGTGATTGGAGAAGTGGCACATTGATTGGTTTAAGGCCCAGAAAAAATTGCTATGTTAATGTGGCAACCCGATGTAACACAGTGACGAGGACGGGCCACTGGGCACCTTATTGCCGACGTGGTGCGCCAGGGCACACATATCGTAACCACCCGCTCAGGCAGCGGAAAGGACTTCATGTTGTGCACCACTTTTGTACTCTTTTGTTCTGGCTGGCCACCCAAATAGGTACATAAGGGTCCACGACTTGGCCAGAGCACGATATCTAACTATCGACTTGATATCGCGCTCAGACCCCTGCCGGCTGATAACAAGCTACAGAGCCAGCAAGTTGATACACCAATGCTTTGAAAGCTTGGAAACACTGAAAAACGACACGGCGATTCTCCAAGGGCTTCATGCCTTGAATCATATAGTTCAAATGATCTGGGACAGGAGGCACAAGTGCTACAAAAATGGGGCCGGAAGCGCCCATTTTCGTCTGTTCTGGCGCAGGAATAGGGAAGGGGGTTGGACATAAGGGTTTACAGGTTGTTTCACAGATGGTTTAACATGTTGTTGAACAGGTAATGTGGCAGCGGGTTTTTGTTGATTATTGATTGGATAAACTTAATTAATGGCACGTGCCATACAAATCACCTGACAGTGGCTGTGTGCAAGGCCCAGAAGAGGCTAGAATGGGAAATTCCCATTTCTATAACAACAAGTCTCTGCACAGTCGTAGCGAATGCAGGGTACTGGCCAGTCACAATTGCCTTGACCAGGGCTTCTGAGACAGGAATCTTAAAGAAAGTTGGGGCGCTTCCGATCATCGTGATGCTGGGAATCACAGCATGTGCAATTATGGCAAGACCTATGCGTTCTCATCCTTTGTTATTCTGATAAAACGCTTCGGCCACAAGCTGAGGTTCTGGGTTGACGCTGGATAAATGGTGCTATTGGGTTGATTTAGGCACTGAAAACGACATGGCTGGACATCATGTTCTTTGTCCTTCTGTACAAGCAACAAATACCTCACGGCTCCCCCACGTTCCATAACACAAACGTCCGTCTTGGCAGACACCCGCCGTCCGCACATCCCAAAAGAGAGTTCCTTCTGTTGGTGAATGATACGGCGACCAGAGTCATATCCCATCAATTTAAGAACAATAGATGCAAAATCATCCACGAAAGACTCTTCATTGGGAGGAACAGCAATGGCATCCTCCAAATACGCGAAAAAATCGATGTCTGCCTTGGTTGTGTCGGGCGGTTCATCAATGTTGCTCAAGATTACTGGTGAGACATCGAGTTAGTCTGGAAGAGGGTGCCCAAAGAACTCATATGCGTCTTCATTGGCTATTCCAATATTGAAAACATAGAGTTCATTCTCTCCCCAGTCACTGCCAGACTTGGCTGAGCGGAGTAAATTTGCCATTGCTTAAGCCTTCAAGGATAGTGCCGGTGTAAGGGATTAACCTTACTTCACTATAATTCCGATTATAGTGATATTTATATTATGTTGCATCACTATAATTCCCATTATAGTGATGTGTTTATTTCTTTATTTATTTGTGCCGAGATATGTAAATTACATATATATACCTCGGAGTAGTTGTAAAGGCCCGGTAGCCTTTTACCTCTACCCCGTTGAATATACAGCTCATTAAAGCTTATGTTTAGACGGACCTACTGAGGCCTGAGGCGAATGGGGGAACGGAACGTACCGTCCCCAAAATAGTAAGCAAACCTTTCAGCCGGGCCGCGAGAATCTTAACCAGGGACTGACCTCTTGTTATTTAATGGAGGTACGAGATTAAATTAGACTTGTGTGCGGTTGGACTAAGCGCTCTTTTTTCGCGCTTGGCACATTACCCGGTGATGCCTTCATCTTATGCGCCGTACCCGCTGTTGGCCTTATGCATACTGTGTCTTCCGAGGCTACAGTCATGCCGATTCAGGTTTTATTGCCGCTGCGTACCTGGGTCGATTTCCTCGGACGAATTCCGTACGTGTTTATTTGTCCGCTCATGCTTCTGGGCTCTCTCTTATTCCTCATCCTCTGCTGAAGGCGTTTTCTTTGTTTCTTTTTTAGTCTCATTTCTTTTAGCCTGAAAAGCGATTTTTGACGTAGTTTTCTCTCGGAGTCCCTTACTTCCGGTAAGCGTTTCGGTCTCACTGAGCAGGGGGGTATTGTGACCTCCGGTTACTCTCGGTGGGTTGGATCCCGAGTGCTTACTCTAGTTTTTCTAGGTTTCTTTATTTTCGGTTGTTCCCTTGTTTTTGTAACCTCTGTTCTTCTCCTCCTTGTCCTTGTTTTTTCGCGTTGCCCTCCTCCTTCCCCAATCTCCATCCTTGTAAATTACCGTTTCCGATCGGGATCTGATATGTCAACTGGCGATTGACAGGAGGGGCTTGGGAAATACTGCATTCAGTGTGTCGTGAACTCAAAGTTGGGACCCTCTCATGTGGACAAACAGCCTCTCCGAGCCACATCAGGTTATTACATTATTGTGCGCGTAGTGTTTGGCTATGCTGCGCAGGATGCGTGGTCCCAGATTAAATGATAACGCAGTGGTCAAATGAAATAAATGGCAGCCAAATGTCAGTAATGAATCGGTCTAGGGAAATACTTGAAAGCATGACCCTAACTCCGCGGACGTGATCAATCAGAAAGAGTTATGTACTCATGCCATTCCCTTCGACGTGAAAGACAATGCAACCGATCCTTGAGGTTACTATCAGGCCTTAATATGTTCAAAAACAGAACACAAAGCTACGAGTTGTAAGATCTGGTGGGTGTAGGATGTTGGCATGGACTTCTTCTTAGGTTCTGCATATACGGTGGGTGTGAGCCACGCTGTTCCCTGCCACTATGGTAGTAAGTGAGAACAAAACAGTCGTGGTGTCACAATTTCGTATGCAATTGATACGCCCAAATTCACTTGCTCGATGGCCGATCAGTATTTATGTAAACCAGTTGCGAATGAAAGATTGAACCAGGTGATTCTCACCTTCACGGATTCGGCGTGGGGTAGGGATATTCCTCGACAGTCAGAAGAACGCTCCCTCGGACGACCGCAAAGTCATTAAACTAGGGAAGAAAACAAGTTCCGGAGAGACAGCTAGCAGTAACGGAAAAACCCAAGGGGTGACTGCAGAATCAGGGAGGAACAATTTCAGGTGGCTGTAAAACTCCCCAGGCAGCGTTTTGGCCCTGTCCCTCCTCCCGGTGCACTAGGACTGGGCCTACGCACTTAGTAGGATTTCAAGAGCCCACTGAGAGAGATGAAGTCCAGGAACACCTACCGGCAGTCCAGCAACCTCCACTACGAATGAGCTACTTATCACGGACAGCACTGGTCTACATAGAGTCCCTTAGTGATACATGTGACACTCGGAGAAGCAGGAAGACTGCGATATTGGACAACCACAGCAATGCTATCACGAAAGTATGAATTCCCTTCCAGCAGCCATCAGGCATTGGAGAGCTGGAATGAAGTGGCTTCATGCGATTCAGATAGTATAATCAGAAGCAATGTGCCTGTTCCCTGATCCGTCCGCGCATATAAGATGCAGGAAGCGGCACCACAACGCTGCAATATAACATGTTTCTGATATCCCCAGGAGTTCACTGGGCTGCATTAAAACAACGAGCATTTGATCTCGAAAAGGAATGCCTAAAACTGCTCGGAGGTCGGCGCTGATGCATATGATTCAAGAATCAGCAAGTATATCGTCATCGTCTTTCCAATCCGATATATGCACACAACCAGAAATAGTCGTTGTATGAATGCTGAGGGGAATTGGCCTAAGGTAGTCGTATGAATACATACGTGACTGCCCCGTGAATGGAAGTTTGGCCATCGACTGCAGGGAACGAGAAAGAAAGACCCGCAACACTATCAGTCCGATACGTTATGAATGCCTATCCGAAATGATCACCCCAATCATCTCACAGAAATGTCTTTGTATTTTCTGATGAAGTCGATTGCGGCCACACGTTCCACTCCTGTCCCCATCACTCGTGATCGGCGGGCTAGTTGTAGGGTCGAGGCCTCGTTATTGGCTTCAATTCTTGGAAACACAAGCCCTTCATATCGTCATTGCACGCCGTAATGCACCAGGACCACACATACTAGCAGAAAGAGCAAATCCGGAATGACTGCGAAAAGAAATGTCAATACTACAACTTTGGTACCGTATATAAGAGCAATGAACGGACGTTTCTTAAAAGGTGGAGTGGCCTATTCGTAGACCAATAAAGGCTCCAATCCAAGGAGAGGTTCCCATGCGAACCCAAAGCAGCATACCGTAAACATCAACGGGTTGTGCGGCTGTTCTGATCGTCCCAACGAGGCCGAAGCTCACAACAAAGACCTTTGTGTGTGAGAAGATGGTTCCTGGCACGACTTCAGGGATAGTACAAGCCCCTTGAGACCCCAGATCCCTTGGTGTGCAACATGGCCGAGAGAATAGTAGAAGAAGCCGATTAATAACGGTGCTTCTTGGCCATGGCACAATTGTGGCCAGAGAACTGGCGTTCGTTGTCCCTATCTATACAAGGCCACACGGGGCCCAAAGACAAGAGGTCCTCATGCATGCCTTAGTATGCACTAATATGAACTATCGACAGCCCCAGAATCCTCGAGTGACTGCCACGATATCAACAGGAATGCTCATACATAAGTCCTGGATACATTTGTGGCACCTGACTATGGCCTGGCGGCGAGAGAAGAGATCGCCGGTGTCGCAGGGGTCCTGCTCTCCGTCTTCCCTCATCTTCACGAGTTGTAGCCACCTGAGCGCAACGAGAACAATTTCCTTTGACCATCCTCGTCAGCGCAACAGAGATCATGCCGTCGATAACATAGTACGGAACTCAAGTGCCCAATTCAGCCACATCGCGAATGATGGAACTGAGCCTGCCAATACTGCAGAACTGGCCAATTATTTTCATCGTTCAACCAGGGCATATCCACGCTTGGGATCTGGTCAATCTTTTGGTTAAGCTAGTCAATAGACGTGATACAGTGCAAAGTTCCAGCGGAACAGGGCATGGAAATTCCAGAGTCTCGACAAATGGCACGATTACCTGGGAAACAAAGGTATCCATAAGTCAAAAGGCCCGCGAGTTTGAGATAATGCAGGATAGCTAGATTGGCTTCCAAGAGACTTTGAGGTAGCCACACAAAACGTCTGCCCAAAGCGAAAACTGTGCACATGACCATCGCCTCAACAGTTCGAATTTCCAACGTTCCTCACACCACCAATGGCTTCTGTCGAGAAGTCCTGCGAGACTTGCGAAACTTGCCAAGCAGAATTAGGGTCACCGGGAACGGATAGAGACACCAAGCCCTCCACCAAGGACATCCCTGAACCCAATGCATTTGTGCCACCAGACGTACCATTGATTACCCCGAGTGTGGTGATAGAGTTTTGCCACAAAGTAAGTGTTCGAATGCTCTGCTAACTGAATCACAAGCTTCAAATAATAACGGGTGCTTCCACCCTCCTCTTCCAAATGCAGTGCCGATGGTGAGTTCAATAAATGAGTACTTGCTCACTGCTTACACACCGGACCATGATCAACTTCCCTGCCACACTCTCATGATCCCCCTGCCCGCCATCTGCAGGTTACACCGTGCCAGCTGGACCCAGACGGAGCTCTTTCTTACCTTTCCACCTCCAGTTCTGAAATCCATTACTCTCATACCTCACGACACGCCAGAAGCCAGCGGACGCTTCCGCCTCTGGCTTGCCACTGAAAACAAAAATCATTCAAAGGATCCCCTTATCGAGCTGATCTGGGACAGGAAGACCCAAGGGGGTTTTCCGGAACTAAAAGATCTGGTGAGGTTATATACCTAAGTTCGGCCCCAAAGACACTGAAGTATCAGTGATTGCCTCCTAGAAACAAGGAATACGTGATAGGATCCAACCAAACCTCTCTCTGGGACACTCGGACAAGAAGACGAAAGAGTAGAAATCGTTAAGATCACTCAACCATCGCAGAACCAAAACCGCGAAGATTCATGTTGCCAAGCAAAGACAGAACATAATAGTAGAAGGAAGTGCATTGCGTGAATACGGCTCTACCGATTCCTCACCGTCTTCCCTTCATCTTGGTTTGAGATTGCGCATGCTTCTCGGCTCTCTTCTGTAGCTTTATTTGTCTCTTGCTGAGGCCATCCGCCGAGTTTGTGGCTCCCTCTACCGCTCCTTCATTCGAGGACTGAACTATTGAGCCGGGGGGCGAGCGAGACGCAATCAATGGTGAAAGGAAGGTACTCCAAGCTTTGAATCCCGCATACAGTGGGATCTGAAGAGTATTCGGGTGCGCCCAAAATAATGAGAAAAGCCCCAGGACGCGTGTGTACCAGACTCACTGAGAGATAGAGCCACCAAACAAACTCGCCGATCAACGCACTTCCAACCTGACAAAGCCACGTAATGTAGATAACATCAAAACACCATTCGGTTATGCCCCCTGAGATAAATCCTCCCCAGGGGCGATCAAGGCTCCGGTATTAGGCTCCCGTTTCGGTGACCCAGTAGATATGAGATGTCGGAAGAGTACAAACTCAGGGATGGCAGTCATAATGTACAGTGTCAGTTGGCGCCATGTTGGCGGGAACGTCCGGTAAGGGAGAATCAGGCGAAGAAGGAAATAGGAGATCTGTGGACGAAGCAAATCACGGTCTGACAAGAAAAATGTTGCAGCACACTCACGTTTGCAATGAGCATGCCAATCTGAAGATTTTTGATTGCGACTTCATTCTGAGCAGCTGTCTTCTTAGCTGAGGCGTTGGCCTACATGAAACAAAACATTTGTGAGTTCCACACGCCAAAAGTTACAGCCAAAATGGCACACCATCGAGGGAGCAAAAGGTTGGAATGAATTGAATGGCGTTCACATGCATGTCGGATGCAAATACCTTGCGGCTTGACGCCTGGGGGTCGTCAAGGCGTCATATCATTTCGGGTTTTTGAAGAGATCGTTGGAATATCGTAGGCAGGACTCCAGCCTCCATGACTGGGAATATCGTTGGTACCGCAGAGCGCTTAGTGATCAGTTCGTCATCTATTCTCGACATAACTGCTACATGCCGCTGCATGATCATGATCCAGTTCGTCTCGCTCCATGTCTGGCAATTTCAACGAGCCTGGTATTATGCTTCACCCTCCGTCTTATCCCCTGGCCTCGAATAGTTCGGCGACCTGATAATGACGCTAGTGGTTTGTATTGAAATATGAAGGTCTTCCCCCTGACAGGCGCTTGCAATGGTCATCCATCAGGCGACATGTCACACAAGCACGGCACGAGACACTGCCAGTGCAACATTGGCCCCTTTTCTCCACCGTCTCCGGTTTGGTCCGATCCAAAGAGCGAGTGTCAGCTACTTCATTCATTGAAGACGAATCCACTGTTGCGCAGTAAGTAAAAGGCCCAGTTTCTGCTAACGATGACTCTGGAAAGTAAAGATGAGTATCATGTAGGTACATTTCGCCGATCCGTCTTTCCCATTGGGTTGCTCATTCAGCCATATGAGGCTTTGCAATGTTTGCATTCGTATTTCGTTTGCTCCTTTTGTTCATAGGCTTCAGCCTGGCTTATCAAAAGCTAACCGATACAGCTCCAGATCATCTTATGCTTTTTCTTCAGTCACGCAAAACTCAATTATGCTCAATTTGAATCCAGAACCCCCCACTGTCTCAGGCGTGCAACTGGATCCTACACGCTTCAATAGATAACGATTATCATTGACATGCACGCCTGTGCACGTGCCCACCCAAGGGATTCGTACCAGATTGTTGGTACCATTGACAACTGCGAATTTGGCATGATCGATCGATCAAGTAGGGTTCATCTGCACTTCGTGCAAATCCATCCTTCTGCCCCATTAGAAGCCTGCAAGCACCTTTCGAGGCGCGGCTGTTGTCGACTATGCATCGACTGACTCAGGTTCCTGGTCATCGCGAACCAGTTCCCGACAATGCTTCCGCGCTTCTTCATTACCCATTCGCTGGGGCTCGTGCCCTTCTGGTGACCCCCAAGTGCTAGTGACATCCGCGTGTCGTCACTTCCGTAGATTCTCGGGGCGGTGGTACTCGAATCTTTGATCCATTTTGTGAACTCGCGGTGGACGAAAGCTTTTCCAGACCCTTTGCGCTTACGTACTTTATCTCTCAGCAATCATTGGACTCTCATAAGTAGTTCATTCGTCCGGGAAAAGTTGCTGATGCCGAACGGTTTCAATGAGTGTGCCGTCACCATGCCTCCAACCAGCCTTTTTCTCTCCATACTCAACAACTTGCCTGAGAAAAAAAAATCAAACAAATGATTTTCGTCAGTCCCAAATTTTTTCGTCCTGAACTCACACTCTTCATGACAGGGGGGAAACATCGCGCATCCGTACCGGAATATGGTCCGTATTCTGATCTACGGGTTTCTACTAACTGCGAGCAACACCGGAATTTTCATCTCGCTTCTGTTGGCGAACTCCAGCTGCTGCCGAGATGGGTCGTAACAATAACTGCCTGAAAGTGACCCTCCACGTGCCCCACTGAACCTCTGGTTTCGGAGACATAGCCTTTTCTGGCGTGCTCTTCAGAATTGCCCGCCAAGCAAGACTCGTACAATCAACATTATATAATCCGATTCAATCATGATTTGTTCTAACGTGCAACGTCCATTCAATAACTTGGTTGTCATCCTGGGAGGGTCGAAAGGAAAAAATCTCTCGCGTTCTTGCTCCTAAATATATATTACCCAAAGGGATCGGTCACTGTTCTCCCATTTTACGGTCTGAGTGGAGGAACAGCCGCATATTTCCCCTTGTCCTTCTCTTTCTCCAAATCTATTGGCAATGCACGGCGGCGGTGTCGGCGCTCACGCGGCTTGCGGTGAAATAGTTCCAGACGTGAACATTTCGCACTTCACGTGTTTCATCAACCCACGCCCACAACATTCCTAAGGTAATTCGCTTAGTCAGCGCTTCAGGCTGGGGAAGGGGCAAAGGAGGTATCGTCATGTCCATACGTCCTCCAATTATCTGGAACAGGTATATATGTGGGTTTGCGGGTTTGCGGGTGGGACAACACAGAGAATCTTCCTATCTCTTGTGGACACCCGTTGGGTGTGATAGGTGAGGGTGAGTGAACGAGTGAGAGTGGTTGTGTGTCAGGGAACGTAAGGGCAAGCACAGATCAACAACCGAGATAAACGGAGTTTACGTACAACAGGTAAAATCTTTTCGGTCGCATATCACTTTCTTTTCTCTCTCATCTATGCCTACGAAACGAAAATTGTGAGTGGGGACGAGAGAACAGGGGCTTTGTTCATGTGTTTTGTTTCGTTTCCCGGCCTCGTTCAATGAGACTGCCTGGAAATACTGCATAGTACTGCTCACGCGGTGAATTCGGGCGCGAGGTAGGGGGCTACTCGCATTGGAATTGCATGGGATGTGTTGTGGCTCTGTGTCAGTATTCAAGTGTCATTATGTACACGATGGCGGGAAACCCGGCCCCGTGAGAACTGATGGACGAAAAGGGGCCGGGAGCCTGATGGTGGTATTGTTGGCACTGTTACAGGGAATATTACGGTAAGGGTGAAGGCAGGATCATAGGGAGGAGCCCTCACAGGGGAAAGGGGGAAAAGGGAAGAAGACTATTTTTTGGGTTTGTGGGATGAGCAGTGAGATACATGTATGTGGTACTGTGGTCAAAGGGAAAAAGGCGTGCATAAAGTAGAACGTGTAATACTGCAATTTCCCTTTCCCTTTCTTTTCTTCTTTAGACCACGCTCACATTCACACTGCGGCCGACCACACATGGGCGAAGGCATGGCCTAGATCAACCTTTTTTTATGGCGCAAATCATACATTGTATAGAATGGACAGGGTACCTTGCATGCATGGGGATTGGGGACGGAAACGAACAAAGATATACCGTTGGTTCCCTATCATCAAGAGGGTTGAAGGGCAGGGAAGCGGGTATGTGTGCATGTTTGAGACGGCGGGGGGATGGGGTGCTCGTGGATAGAGTGTAGGGTATTATTGAATGCGGTAGTTTCACTTGAATGCGCACGACAAAGATAATCAATTGTTGCACTGCGTTTTCAATACTACTATGAATGGTACTAGCTATAGGAGCTACAGACCGTATATATACTACTTGGGCGCTGTACGAAAGTAGCTATAGTAGCTATAGTAGCTGCCACCCAGACACCTATCTGTATAGTAAGTAGGGTTTTGGGTCCGGACAGCGTGCAGGTATCTAACAGTTAGCTCGCAGGTCGTGCGTAGTACTAGTACGTACTAGCAACTCTCCTGGTAGTGAGGATTTAATATGAAATCTCTCCCACAGGACCGTATTTCTAAAACTATGTACGTCTATTGTTGTCCCGCCCATTCACCCAGTTGGCCTTTTTGAGCGTGGGTAATGCACCAACTTCGCCTATTGAAAAATGATGAGATCCGAGGAGGGCTTAGATCTCATTTACTACTAGTGTTCTACCCCGCTTGGATCTGGCCACGAATTATGGCTGTTTGTTTCTTGGAAGTTGAGCTTAGCTAAGAAAGGGAAACTGGAAACGGCGTGCACGAGAAATGGGGAGCTCTGCCTGGGTGAATGGCTGGATGGACAGGCGAACAGATCGATGGATAGTTAGATGGCGTGAGTGCGATCTTATGGATGGAGGGGGTCCAGGATCAAGCTGATAATACGTGTATTGATTGAGTTGGTTAAGTCGAACATGAAAAACGGGCGGGCGCCTGGGCCAAGCGATCCCGTTTCCCTTCAATTTCTTCCTGTGTAGCACCACGGTTGTCAGAAACTGGGGGCCTAAAGGGTTCTTTCGTGTGGAAACAAAAAGGTAGGGGAGGTATTATAAAAAAGGACGAAACAAATTCATCTCTTTATTGGCCATGACCTTCCCACGATTGTGGGGGTGCGATAACAAGATAGGCAGGACCCACGTTTATAGTGCTTTTCTGTGGTTGATGCCACCTGGCATTAGATGCGAAGATACGTGTACAGTACACGCATTTTTCATGATGCTAAAGTGATGCTCCTTTAGGGCCCGGGGCTATGCATGAAGTTGATGGGTTTGGTTATCGGTTCACGGGATGTGATCATGATCTGGCTGTGTGCACAATGCGTGTGTACGGCGTGTTTTTGGGGTGTGATCGATAGGTGTTAATGCGTAAAGTTTTAGGCTCCCGTGTATATAAGTTGAAGAACCATGGTGTGCGGTGGAGTGATCGGGTCACTGGATTTGCATCACACGAGATAAGAGCTAAAGGTTTGAGCGATGAATGTGTATATGTGTAATTCCCAATTTTTGGGGGAGGGGAGTGATGTTGCAGTTTGAGATGAATCTTTGCCAGAAGCTCTTCCTAATATCTGGTCGTTGATGCTAATTCAACGCTAAAGCGCCCGCAACAGGACGTGTAGACACGTGCGACACAACAAACATAGAGAAAGGCATAAGCTACTCTCCTCGACCTTAAACGCCAGTCAGACATACGTATGTGCCTTGACCTACTGCAGAGGAGAGTCACACCGGCGTGTCATAGACTCATGCCCTTCTATCTGACCAACAAATCAATCCCTCTTCCCCTTTCGAATCTGGGAATCAACCGAACTGTCATTTGCTACGACATATTATGTGTGAAGGTCCGTTCAGGTGCACACTGCTGCACGGTTGCCACGGACAGAGTTGGGATAATAACGACGGTGCTTTAATGAAAAGCCTTAAGCAATATGCTCAACAGTGGGAGAAAGCTGTAGGTGCATTTGTCGGTATGTGATGATGTCTGAGTCTGAGGCGTAGTGCAACGGCGGGGAATGAAGGAACGGGTGTCGTACCGAGTTATGCATGATTCAATGAGGACCAAGTCAAACAGCTGCGTATAAGTTGAGTCCATGAGGCATGTCCATTCATCCATCCGAGCCCTCTTCGCAGGAATTCTGGGTAGAAGACTCCCGCCATATGGAGATTTTTCTGGGAAGTTATGTGGGCAGGTGAAGACATAAGTTGCTTGGTATGAGAATTCAGCCGTGACTATGGAAGGATGATAGATGATTTTGGGCTGGTGCCCGGATGTAATATCCATGTAAGTGTGCACACCATAACCATACTCACTCGCAAAGAAGTCGCATGAGAAATCATTTGGGGACTGCTTATGATCGATGGAGGCTTGCGCACACATTGGTCAGCAAAGACCGGTATGAGCCAAGCTACATACATCGGTCATATCGCGCCGGCGCCGCGCGCTGAGCAGGGCAGATGCGGAGTAAGTGTAGTCGCGGAAAGCTAGCAGCAAGTTGTACCAAAGGTTTAGTCATAGCTACTATGCCCCTTTAGCCGGGAATGGTGGATCCTGGACGTTCGGAAAAGATCAACGCACAGCAGATGGTGTGAGAGCCAGTTTGGCCGGGCCGAGTGGGTGTTCATTTGTGGTCCATTGTCATCACCCCCATCGACTCACTTCCTTTCACTTTCCCGGAAGCAGGGGAACACTAAGAGCGCAATATTATTGGACAAGTACTGCTTATTTCGAGCGATACTAGTGATTTTGCGGAGTCTGGTCTGAGTCTACTTAGTTTAGGACTCTAAGAAGGCCAAAGTTCTAAAGTGCCTTTAGCCTAGCTGTCGGGAAAGGCTTAGCGACGAAGGCTGAGTCCGGTGAACGTTGCAAAGCAGAGCCTCTGCTGCTTGGAGTTGATGGCATTGGATGGACAGAAAAGGAAGTTTGCCATCTGCGCAAAATCGTCCAAGTATGGAAAAAAAGTGGATAGGAAAGTGGAAGAATGAGAAAATTGGAAAATAGGAATATCTTATTCCAATTGCCAAAATGGAAATCTCAATCTTATTTTCATCAACTTTTTATTTTATTTTATTTTTATTTTCAAAATAAAAAAATCAACCCTGTAAGTGATTGAATTGGGCTTTGCATCCGTGACCATTGAATTAAGACCGCCGGTAAGTCGCAGTTATAACCAGACAAAAATGCAGAACGATTACTTGACTTGACTCCTTCACCATTCCACACAAAGTTCCCCCAACTCATCGTCTCCGTCGTCGACGGCGTCGACTTATATATCTCTCCCCATGACTGAGGTCTTCACGTCACGCAATCCACCCTTCCTTGGCCGAATGGTTCCGACTGACACCAGTTCTTATACAATCATGTACAACTCTTCTTCATCTTCCTCCAACTCCTTCGCCAACAACCATATCACTCCCACCCAGCCTCCCATGGATCCCCCTCAGCAGCCTCAACAGTTCTCCGACGATGCTTCTTCAGACCCAAACAAGCATCCCCAGCAGCAGCCACAGCAGCAGTCATCCGACAGGCTCGATGGCAAGATGCAGACCACCTTCCTCACCAAGCTTTACGAGTTGAGTCCCTGCCGTTGTTCTATTTATTTATGCTATATCTCTCCCCTTCCATAGTCTTCTCGAGAGACCCGAGTACCATCATATGATACGCTGGGATGCCAAGGGTGAACAGATCATCGTGGAACGCCCTGAACAGTTGGCATTGCATGTTCTTCCAAGCGTTTACCGCCAATCTCGTTTCGCTTCTTTCTCCAGACAACTTAATGTATGTTAGTCTCCCGCCTCTAATTATTTGCCCGAGATCAACTTCAATTCCCTCTGTTCCCCCTAGATTTATGGGTTCATGCGCAAGGTCAACCTTCGCAACATAGATCCTGCCATAGACGACCCTGATGCTTCCACTTGGTGTGAGTCTTAATTCCACATCGAACGTGCTAAATGTCGTTGCATTCTTACATGCCGCCTCCCCGATCATGACAGCCCACCCTACATTGAACCGTCATTCTCCCCCCGAGGTGATCGCTGGCTTCAAACGCCGCGTCCCCCCTCGCATCCCAAAGGCCAAAAAGCAACAGGAAGGCATCCCCACAGCTTCGTCTCCTTACAAACCACTGGTCGGCTCCATCAGCAAACCAATTGCACCCCCGTTGACCAACCCTGCTGTTCGTTTGCCAACAAATGGTCGACCACGGGGTTTCTCAGCCTCGGCAGCCATGCATCCAAACGTCTCGTCCCCTCAACCACAACAGATCCCTCGTCAATTTTCTTCACAATTACCTGCTTCATCTGCTGATGCCAATCCATACACGTTGCACCCTATATCCACCCCCGCCCTTTCCAACCCTTACTCCCAGCCCCAAAATAGCAAAGCATGGTCCCATTCATATGGCCGCAATGCTCTTCCCCCATTGACCATTCCCCCTGACGTTTCTTCCCTCCAAGGTACGCCTGCTCCCGCATCGTATTCTCCATACCCTGCGGCAGGATATGGTCACAACAATAACAACAACAATACCAATGGTGCCAGCAGACACAATCATCCCCCTATTACCCCAACAGATGATGCAAATTATTTGCCATCTGTGTATCAGCCATCTACTCAGCAACCGATTCGTGGAGATTCAGCCGGGATCTTTGGTGGCAACTTCGCATATGGATCTGACTCCACAGCCGCCAGTCCCATCAATGGACCAAGCTATAGTTCGTCTTCGAGCTTCATAACGCCGCAAAGTCAGTCTTGGAATGGATTCGACGCTCAAGGGACCCAACTACCCCCACTAAACACGAGCCCTTCATCTGGTGTCGCTAGCCTCTCCGCTTTACTCAACCCCTCATCCAATTTCGCTACTCAGACTCCGAGCAGATCGCCCGCTCTCCCACAAAACCAACAACTCCAAGGGCATTCGACAAGCGGTCCGAATTCATCATATCCTTCCCCTTTTAGCAGTGTTCCCCCTAACGGTGGCTTCTCGCGTGGTTTGGGAGCAACTGGTTCACCTGACGACAGTGCTAGTCGGCCTACCACCGGTTACTCTTCTGTGAGCGTATCCAGTATGACTAGCAGTGGGTATGGAAACGACTACCACCATACGCACAGGCCATCGAGTTCAACCGGTTTAGAAGGCCCTGGACTCATTCGGCGACCGAGGGGTCGGAGTGATTTAGCCGGTGTGGCCCCTTATCCATCGCAAGTGCAGCGGACCGGAAGTGCAAGCTCGTCCAGCTCGTCATCTGTTACTCCAATGGGGATGGGAACGGGAAGGCCTTTTACCGCGCCAGACAGCAGACGAAATGCAGGAATGGAAGTGTTGACTTCGGGATTGACACCGCCTGTTCATTATGCACATGGTCATCACACTACAATGTCGAGCCATGGGTATGTCCCTCCGGGGACGGGAACATCAGACGCGTCGTCGGCTCACTCGCCTCTCGCTCTTTCGCCCAACGCAACGTTTGCGTATAGCGTTTCGGGTCCACCGGATTCGCAACCACAGCAACACTATGGAGCGTATGGAAATTCCTCGAGGCCTAGCACGGCTGCCGGACACGGGATGGAAAGCGTACTCGAGGAGCCTGAGCATGCACATGCTTATGGTGCTCACTGTAAGTAAGCCATTTCCTTTTACACCACAGCCACTCGCGCCGTTGAGAGTGTGGGGGGCGGGGGTGATAATTGGAAATGATTTCGAAGACAAAGAAAAGGATCCTCATGTGCCCTTTGTTCCCTTGTCTCGCTTATCCTTCGCAGTTGGAGATGGGTCTAGACCAATATCGGCCTCACTGCTTGAGGTCCCCATTTGACCCTTTTTGCGAAACTTTTCCCTCTTCATTAGTGTCGTTCCACTTGTTCAGACCTATAGCAACCACCCTCGCGGATTTCCTTGTTGTTTTTTTTTGTTTACCTCTATAGGATGTGTTTTGCTTTCCTTGGCTCTTTCTTTTTGGGTTCGTGGCCCACGTTGACCTTCTTGGATGCATGCTTCTACCTCGCCGTGCCCGCATTGTCGAATTGATTTTATTTGCACGTATTTAGTCGATTATCTTCGACCCCACTTCGTCCCGTCCCCTCCGTAAAGTCTCCTCGACCTTCGTCTTTCCCCTACCACAATGCGGAACCACAAAGCATTCCCTCGAACCACTTTGTGAAAAGCCCTAGCTGTCGCAAAGTTCTGGATACAAAAACGACGCGAAGTCACTCACTAACCCCGGTCTTCAAACCAATCTCAAAAGAAGTAATTCTCGACTCCGTTCACCAACAACAACCCACGGTCCCCCATCCTCCATTTGGCTATTCCTTTTTCTTTTTTAAGACCGTAAATTTTGCATTCATGTCCAACCGTTCGCCCCTAGACTGCCAACTCGCTCGCTCCTTGTTCCACATTTTACTAGTGCTCTTTCAACTCAGTCTTTCTGCTCCCATACATCTTTTCCCTTGGCACATGGTATACATACCTATTCATGTACATACTTGCACTGCTTGCTCTCGATCTTGTCTCTTCGCATCATCACCACACAGCAGTACTTACTCATCCATCATTCATCGTTCATCATCGCCGTCGTTAACATAACAACCAGATAGTTACTCCCCTCGATCTCGATCATTTGAAAGGGTGCGAAACATCTTCGACATCATCAAGTATTCCCTCGCTCTTGTTCTTTCCTCACAGCTGTTACCGGTGGGCTGCATTCAAATGAACACTGGTGGCCGTTTGTTCGTCTTCTTTTTCTGCTTTTATTTCGGTTTTGGACTAAAGTACAAGGTTGTTTGTTCCCTTTGATACCGAATGGAGTCGGTGTTCTAAGCTGTTTTCCTTTGGGCGCTTTCACTTCATTCTGAGCGACAATTAATACGGCTGTTACGTAGGTTTTATCATGCAAGCTCGTGAGAAGCTGGTCAGCTAAGGGTAGGAATTACCGCTACTGTTCATGATGATACGTCACATCTGGGAGAGTGAGAGAGCAGGCCCGTGATGGTATCACATCACACGCCCCCGTTCGCTGCCGATCTCGTTCGAAAGGTGTGGCCACTTGGGCAAATATTGATATTGCCCACTCTCATGCCGCGCACATAAACGTGCAACTACGTACATGCGCAGGACTGAAAGGCTGCGCTAGCTACCTTCGTAACTAGGACTACAACGATCAACCATATTAGCAACTAGGCAGAACAAGAAAATCAGACTTGAAAGAAGATCTCGAGATCGGTCCACGAACTCATGATACGACAACATGACGCGACTCTATGACCAAGTATCGAGCACGATCGAACGACGGGACGCCGGCGAATTAGTGACACTCAGGGCCTGAGGTTGAGGTTGAAGTTTTTTCTCAGCTCATCATCGATTCATTGGTCCTCGTACTCAGTCATTCCCATGTAGAGTGACGGTTAATCAATATATGCATGCATACCTCCATATTTTATGGATTCCCATTATTCAAGACACCATCAAGCTGTTCACTCGCCTACTAAAATCCATTTCATGCACTTGGCTGCTCCACCGTGACCTGCTCACGCCGATGATCGCTTTTCTTGCCCACTCGGTCGTGTATGGAACTATTGCCGGGAGGTTGCGAACGTACTCCGAGTCCAGCGGCATTCCCTGATGGTGCAATGTTCCCCACAGGTGACCGATTTTGTCATGGATGTGCAAGGATTCATTACGGTGTCTTTACTTGGCTATTCAACTTGGCAAACTGCTATGTATGGGTGACTACGAGGAGCTCCATATAGCTTGCCTGAGACAACACGGGTCGATTGCCAGATCGATGCGACATGCATATGGTGGCAATGTACTTGATAGTTCTCACTGGCGAAATGGTACCGCACTGTGGATCCGGCTTTCTTTCTACTCCCTGCTCGAGGCCTCCGCGCTGACTGCTATCTCCCATGTCCCAATACTACCACCCAAGCTTAAGCCTTAATTCTACTACTAGGCTTCGCGTTCCATAGCACAATATGATACTCCATCTCTTTCTCGACGCATCGGAATCGTCATCTTACCATTTCAATCAACGGTACATGCACTAACACCGACCCGCTTTGCCCACGGCCTCTTTTCACAGGCTGTTACTCTGCTTGGATATATTTGTATCTATATTCAAGGAAGTGGAGTGGATTGGCGCATGCGCGCCTCCAGCCTCGATCAGACTCATACATACATATGAAGAAGAAGCTATGCCTGGGGGCGGAGCGTCAGCTTTGGAAATTCTTCCGAATATAATAAAAAGGGAGAGGTGGAAATGAAATGTAATCTGATGGTGGCCATAGTGCGGCGCACGGCGATGTACCCGAAGGTTTGCTTGTCGACGTGCAGGCTTGAATGATGCCTCGTAGCTGGACTGGTATGCATTCTCAGCATGCTGACATACGTACGTCTCTGGATGAAGATCGGAAGCGGATCAAGTGTGGTGAATTTAACGTGACACCCTGCATCATAATGTCTTGCCTCGGACATCGACCGGGGGAGGGCCACATCATACCTTCCGAGCGCCTCCTCCGCACCGTCACCGCTGCTTTAGTTTGACTGCGTGAGCACACGGGCTACAACGCGCGGCCTCAGTGGCCGCTGCGGCAGAGCTACGTACATACATAAATTACCTACATTCCTTACATCTAGTGAAATTTACGGTCTTACGATTGGTGTGGTGGCTTGTCCTTTGAGGATTTTGTCATTGAACCACTCAGGACTTGTTCCGCTCGATCACCTTGGTTTCGGGTCTAGACCATAAACAGTCAGCAGGCACAGCTACATACATCAACTGGACGCCTCTGTTCGCGCCCTCCCTCCATGCACACTCGGGCTTCCCATCTCTCCGCCGACTCTGGCACCATATCCATATCTTCCTTGCGGCTGGATAGACTAGTTACTACCATTTACGATTTTGGTCATTATACCTAGCTGGCATATTGTAGATCATCGCGCGCGTTGACCGCGGACTTCGGCCTCGGCAATTCTCGAGTCACCGGATGAAAATGGATCATGCACCAGGGAGCCTGGAACTATTTGATAGGTTTGGGTCATGTTCATGATCTTGATAAATACGAGTGAGAGTACGAGTGAGTCAAAGGATTGTTCTGGAGTTATTCTGAATGTTTTGGGAACCAAGACAGTTTTTTGCATCAGAAAGTGATGAGTCCGGCGAGTGATCATCTCCAAATCTAGACTCGCATGCATATGTATCTATTAGCGGAATTTCCTTTATCTGACGTTGGGGATATGTTGTACGTGTTCCGATTTTTCCGCGTTTTTCCGTTTGTTTACGCCTCCCCATCATTGGGTCGGACTCAACACCGATTGTGCTATGGCTGTGGCATCATCATTCCAGGAGAGAGATATTCATACTGAATTATGTGCTAGACTGGGAAAGTGATTTACGTTCAGCTGTATGTGTATAACTGTCAAGCACTCACGTTGGAACCATGCAAACGTGTGTTTGTATTTGGACTTGCATGTACTAGTGTACACAGCCGAAAGTTGAATGTCGATCGGATCTTGCACCAAATAATGAAAAGCCTTGTAAATCAAACCGTTCAGATTGGTCAGCACAAGCACATGCTAGAGCAAGCGAATTACACTGCACTCTACCACACCTGTGGTTATCATTATACTATAGTAGTGAAGATTTGCCCAAGTCACGCCTCGTTGTGTGTCCCCGAAACGATAACCAATGCAATGCAAGCATTTGCACATTTACCCTGACGATCCGCGTAGTCTTGCCACGGACTATGGCTTAGAGGGTTTCCAAGAAATGCGTGAGAGTGTGTGCATAGCATTGGTTTCGATCACAGGCGGAGGCGCATGGTACAAGTGGTACTTCTTGGGCAAGCTGTGCTTAGCTAGTACCGTTCAATTATCGAAATCAGACTGTACAGTATGAAGCACGTCCCCTCGACGATCCCGAATCCGACAGTTATTTCTGTGTGCAACTAGGGTATAAACGCTTGGGCCACACTGAGAGCAACACGTGCATAGCGCTCGTAGATTTACTGGCACGCTAGCACGGATCAGGAGGACCCAGAAGCTCGTTTTGCTCAACGCGTCACTATCCCGGGGCTCCTGTCAAAAGCAAATTAAATGTCAGTTGAGCAGATCAAAGAAGGCGCAGAAGGAAGGGTTTGAAAAAAGAACTCGCGTCCGGAAAGGAGGAAAATAATAATAATTGTATCAATACAGTGGATCTGGCTTCGATTCCTTTTCAGTCATTTATCAAAAATTTCTTCGTCCTCGCCATCAGCGAGTAAAAGCGGAA